GATGAGTGGTCAGTCTGCTCCAAAAAACTGTATCAGTGAGGGAACAAAGGAGGTTTTAAATGAGGGGAAGAGTTTCTTATATATCCTGTACTCTTAAAGTAGCTTAATTTTAAAAGTCATTTTTATACTTCTAATTGAATTTTAATTTCTATCCCGGTAGAGTTTACTGAAATAACATGAAGTTGTACATCAAGTTTGCACATAAAGTTTATGTACAAACATGAAAATGAAAAATTACCTAGTGAGAGAAACATACAGTGCCGTTCATTTTCTGGCTCCTCATTTTCCTATTTCCTCTTGTATTTAAAGTACTGACTACTATGCTTTGGAATAAGTCTGTTTTGTATAAAATATACCCCATAGTATGATGGCATGTCTATTTAAATTTGTGGTGTATTTTAACACATTTTGACAGTTGAGGATTCAGATCATTTTAAGATCTGTTTACCCTTGGGTTTTATGTCCTTAACACTGAAAAGTGAAGCAATTTCTTCACTAAATTTTCTCCTTCTCCAAAATAAAAAAAAAAGGCAGAAAAAAATAACCTACCCCTATTCTAGGAATTGGTTGTTGGAAAGTCCATTTGATGTAATTCAGTATTTAGTAGCTGACTGATGTTATACAGATACCTGCTAGACTTTAAGAAACAACTGTATTCTGTTTTATGACTTGCTTTTTCCTATTACATGAATCCTTATTAATTCTAATATTGATTGTTGTTCTAGATAGAAAAGTGCTACCTATTATATGCCTGAAAATGGGAAAGGTTAGGAGATTTAAGATAAAAGCATTCACTTGTGGGTTGGAGAGGATGATCTTTTTTGTGTGTTAGTCCTAAAAGATCTAACAGCAGCTTTCATACTATAAAAACTGGGAGAGAGCCTCTGAAGTGAAAGACTTCCTGCCTAACAGAAATGCATGCCCTAAGCTGCTGATGTGTGATTGTGCATGTCTGCCTTGCCAGTGCTTACCCAGTGACTAAAGCCAAATGGCTGCAAGGAAGTGGGTATAATGCTTGTGTACAGAATCAAGAAACTCTTTGGCTTGCACAGTATAGAGGATTGTCAGAATGTCATCTGTGCATCTCAAATGTATGACGTAAATGTGAATGTGTACCATCAAAGTAGAAAAGAAATACAACTTACTGTACATTCATCTCATAATACAACTCTTCCCATTATTATTTAGTTTCACTTGTGTAACTCTTATTTTCAGGAGCTGCGATCACGTGAAGAAGAGTTGACACGAGCAGCTCTTCAGCAGAAGTCCCAAGAGGAATTACTTAAGCGCCGAGAGCAGCAGTTAGCAGAGCGTGAGATTGATGTGCTGGAGCGTGAGCTGAACATCATGATATTCCAGTTAAACCAAGAGAAACCCAATGTAAAGAAGAGGAAGGGCAAATTTAAAAGAAGCCGTTTAAAACTTAAAGATGGACATAGAATAAGTTTGCCTTCAGGTCTGAGGGGTTTTTCAGTTCACAATATATGTTATTAATTAAATGTGCACGCTTAAATTTAATGGTTAAAATGATCAGTGTTGGCTACTACTTTAAGTCATTGCAAGGGTCTTCTAACATAATAATGCAGAGGCTGTGATGAGAGTTATTTAGCTGCATTTTTTTCTCCAAAATTTTGTGCAGTGGTGGTCTTTTAAGTTGGAAGAATCAAAAATCAAAAAATCTGTTTTATCTGAAGTGAAGGGACTTAGATTGAGAAGGAAGAGATTTGACAGTGGTTTGAAGATCTGATGTCGTGCTATCTCCGTTTTTGTGCAGAAAATGCTTTTTTTATCACTATCCATAATTTTCCAACATGATCACATATTAATGCTGTTTGCCCTAAACTTGGGAATAGCCAATGAAAAACAACACTTTGCAATGACTAGAAGCTTAGACATAGCGGTTCCAAATCTCGTGCTCATCGCAGTCACGTGTACGATGCAGGAGTTACAATCTTTGCCTTACTTCCAGGTAGAAAACACTAATAGCATCAGAAATGTCACTTCAGACGTTAAATGTAGTATAATTCGAATGTCATAGCATTTAATTCCATCCGGGGATGCAGTAAAGCTTGCTTTAGCAAACCAGGTTTTTGTGTGTAGAACATGGGGTTTGTCTTAGCGTCAGTGACACTTTGAGTGGCACTTTATTGCTGCCATCACTAGGTGGCAGCGTGGAAACTCAAGGGTTATGCAAATAATCAGAAGCCTTCACAAGTGTCCGGGCATCTTGTGGTTGAAGGATTTTCCTTTCAGTGGTTTCTGGGTTAAGTCTCTCCTTATTGCTGATGCAGTGAGACCTTAATGCTGCACCGACAAAACTCCAACCAGTCATAGTTATCGGAGCATTTGAAAGGGGCAAAGAATGTGGTAATATTTAGGGTACACTTTTAGCGGTAATAAAATAAGTTTATTATTTCATACTTAAAAACTATAATTATAAAGAAGTCACGCTGCAGTTTCACAGATGTTACTGTATCTCTTTAGCCTTTCCTTCCCTCTCTGGAAACCGACAGAATTGAATATTGGTATGCAAGCAATGTGAATATGCCTCTGGTTTGGCTCAAGTTGAACAACTGAGATGCTTTGATTGGAGATGTATGTGAAATAAATCATATAGATTCCATGGAGCTGTAAAATCATACTGCTTTGGCTTACAGTCTAAACTGAACTATTACATTAAAGACCAGCATCTGTCAATGTTGTCAATATAAAAAATCTATTGCTCTATCAAGTCTTATTCATTATGTAGCTTTATCTGGTTTGAGGAATACAGGGGTATAATCTCTTGAATATCCTTTAGTTAGGATGTTAAAGCTGTTTTTACTTTCTCTTATAGACTTCCAGCACAAAATAACAGTGCAGGCATCTCCCAACCTGGATAAGAGGAGGAGTTTAAACAGTAACAGCTCCAGTCCTTCAAGTAGCCCCACAATAATTCCTCGTCTTCGAGCTATACAGTGTAAGTCTCTGTCATTTCAGTTTCTTTAGTAGACATCATGCTCATTCTGTAAAGACTCGCCAAATACTGGTAACATCAAATTCCAGATAGATTTATGTTTGATTTCTAGTCGTTATAACTTGTTCACTCAGATAACAAGTTGCAAGAGTTAGGAGGGCTAGTCTTGCTGAAATGTTACTTACTTTTTAATATTTATTTCAAAATTATGGGGAATGTATTAAATCATATTTTTCCTTCATAACTTCAGGAAGTCATATGTAAGCCGACTTGGATAAAGCAGTGAAGAATCAAAAATTTGTAATGGTAAAAGATAAGGGGCCAAGTTTAGAACCCCTATAAGATGGAATAGTTTTTATGAAAGCTAAGAAGTCAGCTGTGGACTGTCAAAAAGAGCCCAAGAATGAGGTGGTGATATAAGCTGGAAAGACAGAAAAATCTGCCAGCAACTTGGCTTGCTCAGAACAAAAGAGAAGCAATTAGTAAGCAAGTACAAAGCCAGATGGAAATAAAGACAGTTTGCTTTGGGGTTTTGGTTTGGTTATGTTTTTCTTTCCCCTGTTTGCAAATTGGGTATATACTTGCAGGCCTACATTACTTTATGTACTCCGATGCCAGAGGGCAAGTTAGTGGAGTGGAGGTAGCATGTGGTAGCCTTTGGAAGAAAACATTCTATTGTTTTAGCAAAACCCACATTCGTATTTGGGAATGATATATGTAGAGATGGGGAAAAAAGGGTTCCTTCTGGTTGCTTTTATATTCTCTGGAATTGTTCAGTTATCCATATTCAGGATGTAGTGTTACGAGGGATGAAAAACCTGAATGCTGCTTTCTCTGAGGCAGAATAACCTGTCCTAGCAGATTGCTAACAGATAGTGAATGTCCTCTGATGCCAGAGTAGTTCACTTCCAAAAAAGATTATTTCTGAATCTGGCCTTAAAGATCCTTAAAGATCTGTAGCTAGTTTAAGGAATTCTGGAACCAACCTGAAACTTTGTTTAAAACTTGATAGAAGCAAGCTCTCATTTCCTTTGTGGTATGTCTGCTTTATGAAATCCTTTTGATTAATTAGTGAGTAAAGGAAAAGTGATGTTTACTGCGGACAGTTGTAACTCAAGTATTTGTTTGAGCTGTAACTGATACAGTTCTCTGGCCCAAGACCATTGCTACCAGCACATTGTGGTTAAGGAGAGAGTTGGATAAACCCTGTCTTGCTTTTCTTAATGACAACTTGAGATCCAAGGAAAATTAATTCTGCAAAAGACTTTGGTTTTTTATGGCTGATACAGTGGCTGTGTTGATAATATCCCCCCCACATGCACACCCTGTGACTGCGTGCTTTGTTCTGGTTTTGCTTGATTGTTATTTACTTCAGTCAAGAAAGAAATAGCTTTTGTTTTTCTTTCTGAAATATGTTTGCAAATACGCTGTCGCTTTTCATCTTTGGTTCTCATTGCTCTGTATGAATGCTTGGAAGTGAAGCAAGTGTCAGGTATTGGCATGACTCTGAAAATTTGATGGTGTAAATAAGCATATAAAGTATATTTTTCAAATTTTTGTAAAAGTCATAGCTGTGGTGCTCTAAATCTTTGCGTGTGTGAGAAATTTTAACTGAAGGTGGATTGTTTTGAGCAAACATTTGAATTTGTAGGACTAAAGCATACAGGGCAACAAAAGGCTGCTTTATTTGGTTTTTTTTTGTTTTTTTTTTTTTAAAAAGTGCTCTTCTGTTTTTGAGTGGGGATCTCTCGGCTTGACCTAATAGCTTATCAGATCTCTCAGGCATATCTAGCTGAAACAGCTTGGCTTCCACACCCATCTGCACCTGTATTTTTTTAAAAAAAAAATGTTTCCCACAATAATGTTTTATCTTGATTTAACTTCAAAGTGACTTTGTTTCACGAAGAGTTATTTAAATACACATGATTTGAACAGGCCTACCTAGCAACTGGTTACCTGATCACTTCACTTTGCTGTGAGCGGTTCTAATTCTAAATATAAATGTGTGAGGTTTTTTTAATTAAAGAATAAATTAAGAATTCTAATAATAAATCTTGTCATGAAGCCTAATTCAGCTGTTTTAAAAACATCTCCATAAGGCCAGAATCAGTCTTTGGAATGTGAGAGTTTAAATAAGTGTTATGTTGTGCTTAAAAAGCAAGCTGCGCTGCTGAAAAGGTCTGTGGTGAGGGAAGAGGAGAGGGCTGTGCAGTGCAGGCGAGGCAAGGCAGTTGACATGGAGAACAGTTTATGGTGTTGTTAACAAGCCACGTTGTTTTTCTCTTGTCTTTCCATCATAGATGTAACCGTGTTAAGTGGATAGCAGACTACGACTTCAGTTCATGGATCACATGCAAACATCCCCTTGCCTGAGTCTGTTCCTAATAAAAAAAAAAAAAAAAAAAGGGGGGGGGGGGGGCGGGGGGCCCTGTAAACCCTACAGGAAAAACTGTCTATCCAAAAATACTGGGTGCATTTCTAGGTCTGACTTTTATGTCCCAAAGCTAGAAGTATAAGAAGGGACACAGTTCCCTTTCTGAAACCAGCTTGGCTAAGATCTCTGCTACATTCTTTTAATTTTTCTTCAGTGATTTCCCAAACAGATACACACACAACTAATGGCCGAAGAAACAGTGTGTATGTGTACCAGCAAGATGTAGATATCACAAGTGAATATGAACTTCCCAGTGGGGTTATGAGAAAAGGCAAGACTTCACTATATTTCAAGGGTGCTGATTCTTTTTAATTTAAAAGTAGAGCTGAAGTGACAGACTAAGCATTTAATGAAGCATAGACACTTTAAAAGTATCATGTTTTGGTGCAATAAAAAAGGATATGTTAGTTGTTGTCTGAATTGGAATATTTTCTTTATTATGACATAATTATTCCATAGCATATACCTTTTTTTTTTTCCCTCTGGAATTTAAGTGCTCAGTCTAATTCACTTGTCTGAATTACTAGATGCAAAATTAAGGTTAAAGTAAGCATGGAAAATAAGATCATTGTGCAGCTTTATCTTTAAATTTGGCTCTTGTTGGCTCACAAATTTTTTTTCTTGCCTTGCCAGTCTTTGGGGATCTGTACAGTTTGTGTGGTGGTTCTTGCTATAAGGGAAAATAATCTACACTTTTGTTTACTTCTCTTTGTTTACTGTCATAATGGTTTTGCATTGGAGAAAATTGTTCTGTCCAAATACATTGTCCTTAGGAGTGTTTTTAATGGTGTGTCTTTTTTGTTTTTGTTTGTTTGTTTGTTTTGTTTCAAAGTAACTTCAGATGAAAGCAACAGAACTTGGGGAAGAAGCACAACTTGTCACCAAGAAGAATTTGAAGATGTGAAGAGAAATTTTAAAAAGAGAGGTTGTACGTGGGGACCAAGTTCAGTTCAAACAAAGGATCGTGCAGATTGTAAGGACAAGTATGTCTACCAAGTTTTATTCATTTGATAATACTAAATTATTTTGTATTTGTAACTTTGGAACTGAATAACCAGCCAACGTAGTGAGGGAGAAATGTTCTGCAGCCTCTATAGTTATAACTGAGAGTCCTCAGTCCTATTTATTCATTAACTTAGGGACTACTGTTAAGGAGGAAGAGCTCCAGAACGTAGGCTTGAGGATAAAATGTATGCTTATCTTTAGGATTTTTTTTGTGGCTCTGTTATCCTTTATCTCTGATTTTTGACACTCGGGACTTTTGGGGATTCTGAATTGCTGAACATTCAAGATATTCCTGGCCTGGCATTCTTGCTCTTCCTTGGACTGGCTTGAGGAACTGCAAGGATGGCCCCCAGTGGGCACTTTCAGTAGTATTAAGTAAGACCGACTGACTTTGCATCCATGAAGCACTATCCACATTAGAAATATTATTCACACCGACAAATGTAGGATAAAAAAATGACTTTTTTTTCTTCGCCCAATTGCTAAAAATAGGAGGTTAGGAGTTTTCTGAAGCAAGAGATCCTGTCTTTTCAAGCCTATATAATTCCAATACCTTTCTTCTGAGATATCCACTGATTTACTTATGGCATTAGTTGGTTCAGTTCATCTATTTAAACTGGCTTAGATGATGTTTTTGTATGCTTGAAAGTCACTCTATGTAATTTATTTCCAGTATTTATTGTTTTTCTTTGAAACAATTAACCTGATATGCAGATTTTACGATTTCTCTTTGACTGACTTCTTAGGCCATTATATTCTGAAGTTTCACCTTAAAATAGATATGTGATCATAAGGCATGTGCTGATATGTAATGGTATGTGTCTGCAGCGTACAATATACAACTTTTTTTTTTTTTAACCTTTGGATAACTGTACTGTTTTAAGTTGTATGCTGCGTGTTTATTGTTTAAAAAGAAAGATTTTTAGTAATTTTTTGTCAAAGCATACATAAGCATGGTAGCATCTGTAATAACAAAATGATCATCATTATTTCAGAATAAGACCCCTTTCAGATGGCAGCAACCCTTGGTCAACTCTTTTAATGAAAAATCAGAAGGGAGTTCCTTTAGCTTCGCTATTTGCAGACCAAGGTAAGAGCTACTTCTGAAAAAGCTAAAGTTGTCACATAATGGTATTAAGTCTCCTTCCAGTATTATGAGCAGCATTGCTCAAGTTTCTCAGATATTGTACAAAACTCATGAATGTTGTCTTGCTACAGGTACTTTACCTCAGTGTTTTAAAAAAAATCCCTTACATATACTAAAAAAACAGTGTTAAACTCATTTCATTTTCATTATTAGCACCTAAGAAATTTGTGGTGTGCAAGCAGTGCTACAGTTTTTTTTTTTTTTTTTTTTTTTTTTCCAAATTTTTGAAATGCTGATCTTTGTATGAGGTCTGCAGGCACAGCCTTTTTGGAAAAAAAATAGTAATTTGCTTGACATTTAAATGTCTATTAATTACTTTTATTGTCAGCGGGTAAGCCATTAGCCTAATCTGTTCAGACATATTAGTTCTCTGCTTTCTTTTTAAATGGGACTTTCTCAATTTTGGAGGAGGGGAAAAAAATTAGATTCCAAATCTTAAAGTTGTTTAGGCAACTTTTCAGGATCGATAGAATGGTTTTCCTTATGATTTTCCTATTTAGTATTCTTAGGATCAGGAATGTTATAGCTGTAATGTTTTCTGCCTATTGCTTTACATGTGCTGTACTTGTACAATATTTATAATATATATTTGCACCTATTTTCTCCAGCAGCAATTCTTTTATCCCAAAAAAAGAAAGTTATAACAGTCATGGAAATGAACTGTGCTATGACTTGTTGTCCATAGCAACTCCAAGTTTGTCAGCTGCATGAGGAAAAACAAAGCTGTTTGGACACTGATTCCCTTTCCTCCACACCCTGCCTTGCCCAGGAGAAATGCTTTCTCATCTTTATGTGTACTTCTAGGGGTGTAAATCAAGACCTCATAATTAGCAGTTCTACAGATTTAATAGCCTACTATGTACAGTCCTATGTACAGAAAAGATTCTACAAGTATACATCTTTGCATTTTATATACTGAAATATGTGTTCTATAGTACTCATATTTTGCAGTAGAATAACACATCTAAGTCAAATTATGTCTTCCCTTTTATTCATCATTAGATGGGCAAGACCAGTTTCACTCATTAAATAGAAAATGTCACATTTGCTTCAAATTGCTCAGTTAATTGGAAAAGATTCTAGTAACTCATTGGATTTTGGAATTAATTGCATTTGAAAATATTGTCAAGAACGTATTACAGATGCTATCTGGCTATTTCTGTACCTTATATTACTTAGCTGTAATCCATGCACAGAAATATTTATCTTGTTTGAAAAGCAGTATCAAAAGTGTTGCAAATCCTGATATTTTACAGCAAATGAAATCACACTATCTGCTTTTCACTTGCTCCAAATAAGTAAAAATTGGAAGATGCTTTGAGCTTTCCTACCAATGAAGACTGGTTCTTAAGACTTGGAGGATATCAGGGGGAGTTCCAACCTGATTTCTTTCCAGTTTGCTTACTTATTTAGGAAGATAAATCTGCAAATTGCTTTTATCACATTCTGCTTTTGAGTTGCTAAAACAATGAAACTACCCAAGTGGTGTTTTTGTCACCATAAGCACTATCAAGAGAACAAGAAAAGGTTTAGGCTAAGAACACTTCTCAATCTTGCCATATGAGTCTCTTAGCTTCTTAGTGTATTTAAAGGGGGCACACAGTATCTATCAGGATTGATATATGTGCAAATAAGTGGATGTACTTATGTAGACGTGGCATCATAATAAATGGCTTATTTGTGATCTTAAAGTCCAGTGCAATGTTTTATAGGTGTCTGTACTGATAAGAGACTTCTCCCTGAGGGTTTGGACACCAAAAGACCAAAGCCAATAAAGCTGTCAAATCAGGCCTATATTAATCTACCTCTATGGAAGGATGATCAGGGAGAGAACACAGCAGAACCTGAGAGCTTTGAAGAAGGAACCTCTGCTAGTTCGACAAACAGTACTCCTCAAATGACACCTACAAACAGTCTGAGCAGAACACTGCAGAAAAAGAAGACTGATTCAGTGCTGTATGGGTGTGCAGTTCTCCTTGCATCTGTTGCCCTGGGCTTGGATATCAGAGAGCTGAACAAATCACAAGGTTCAGATGACCTTGTGCCAAAGGATGAGAAGAAAAAGCGTGATGGACTATTCCAGCGTGCTTCAAAATTTCGCAGGAGTGCCAGCCCTACAAGACTGCAGTCCAAGAAAGAGGAAACAAGTATTCCATCCTTAAATCCAGCTGCAAATACTGTGAATCTTCTTTCTATGCCTTCCATTTCCACAAAATGCCTACTTCAGCCAGACAATGAAGATGCATTTGTAAGCACTGTGCTTGATGATTGTGATCCATGTAGTTCCACTGATGACATTCCATCTGAAACTCCTGAAAGTAAGAGAGAGCAGAGGTTACAGCTGGCTGCTGACCCATTTTCTACACCATTGAAGAATCAACCTTTCAATCTGTGTCAGAAACAAGAATCTCAGAAGGTGCCAAATGATTCTTTGTCAAAGTTAAGTGTGTTGAGACACAGACGAACCTTATCCGATGGGAACAATTTTCAGACCACAGGTGGGTATTTAAGAACTTCAGATGTGTTGGGGTGTTTTTGTTGTTTTTTTTTGTTGTTAAAGAAATGGAGAATTTCGAGGCAGTAACTGTTCGCTAGTTGCTCACTAAGTTCTTTGCTACACTCTCAAATAGGTTAGCTGAGCCACCATAACTGTGTGCAGCAAGTCCTCTGTTTCTGAACTCTAAGTTATCATACCCTTTGAACAGTAACTTACTCTGTGGGTATGAGCAAGTTAGTTGTAAGTAGGTACTGATTTTTCTCCAGTATGGAAAAAAACAGGTTTCATGAGTCTTTTCAAGCAGTTTATGCTTGAACATGCTTTTTTTTTGTGAAATAGACAACACCAGCATTATCAGTAAAATAAAGTAAAACTGCATTGTCAGCTTCAGGAGTCTGGGAAAAGCATACACTTACTTAATATATTAAAATACTAACATCATTTTCACTTGTCCATTTATTAACTTCTAGAAAAACAGATCTGGTGTGTTTTGATTTGCTTGCCTGACCTAGGAGTTACATCACATGCTCAACAAATCTTTAAGCTAAGCTATTGCTACAAAATGGTCATTAAAACTGGTTTGATTATTGTGATTAATGACTCTGTAAGAATGGAAGTTGTGAATTTTAATAATGGTTTTCTAGAGTAGATTCGATGCAATGTTCTTTACGGTATTGTATGAATAGAGTCATGATATCTTAAAATTATTTGAGTAATTTGTCAAAACTGTGGGGCTTTATTCCAGAATTAATATTCATCCAGTCATTGCTTGGTTAATGCTCTCTACATGCTTGGTTAATGTTCTCTACATCTCTGTAACAATGAAAAATAAATTGCCAATCTCTTTGACAGAGAGATTATATATAGAAGTTATTTGAGTAATAATGCTCCTTCCTTTGGAGATTTGCCATTAATATATATGAGCTTTTAATTTTTGAATATTTTATGGGAAAAAAAATCAATATTACTTATGGCAATCCACTTTTACAGATGGCAAAGAAATCCTAAAGCTACATGTTTTAACATGCCTTTTTTTTTTTTTTTTTTTTGGTTTTTCTTTTCTCCTAGCTAATGGATTTGCTTCAACTAATGATGTACCCAAGTTACCAACTCTGTCAGTTACCAGAACTCTACATTCTCCATCTCTTCAAGAAAGAAGCAATCATGATGGTATTTCACCTGAAAAACAAAGAGCTATCAATATCATATCAAGGCCTCGACCTTCATCTGTAAGAAGTAGAATTGATGCATGGCAGATTCTTCCACGTATAATTAAACCAAACTCTAAAGACCCAGAATGTTTAGAGGGCAACACAGGTCCAAATGTGAACTTTTTACCAGATACTGAGGAAAGAACTAACTGCCACATGCCCTCATTACTTGATATTGATGTAGAAGGTCAAAACAGAGACTGTACAGTGCCTTTATGTCGAATGAAGAGCAAAACGTGTCGGCCATCCATATACGAACTGGAGAGAGAGTTTCTGTCTTGAGTGCCTTTCATTTTAGAAACACTTACATTTTTTAAAGGAGCACAAAACCTAAAATTCCTGTCCATCTAATTCTTCATGCTGCTGTTTTCTAATGTACTGTGACAAATAGTACCAAAATTATTAAAATGGGCAGCTAATTAAGGAAGTGTAACAGGTGCCTTCTTAAAATTTTCTTTGGAATCCTAACTAATAATTCTAAAAGCACAAAAGTAGTACTTGAGATGAACCTGCCAAGCATATTTCAGTGAGTAAAGTAACATGCCTGCTTCCCTTCACACGGCATCATGCGTTTCCTTCTGGTTTGAATTTTTGTGCTAGAAGTTTAACTTTTGCACACAGGAAAACTGAATGGCCTACAGAAAGGCTGTGTTCAGTCAGGGAGAGTTTGTATAAGAAGCAGCTGTCTGCAGCCAGGCTCTTTATGGCTTATAGAGCTGGGGAGGGGGGACAGGGGATTAAGATGCCAGTACAGAAGTGCTCTTTTCACTCCACACTAAGTAGCTGGTTTCTTTTTGTCATTTCATACTGAAATTGGTTAAGGACCTGCAATTGAATTCACAGTCTTTGCCCTTGGTTTTGGGGAGAGCTTTTCAACTGTGTACATTAGTTTCTCCAGTACATTATAGTGCCTAGATAAACATGTAGGTTTCAGCCACGATATCGATTTAAGAGGGTAAGCTATAGTATTGTGATTGGATTAAAGGTTTTTGACATACTTTCTCATGTGATTCAACATTCCTTGTAGGTTTGGATACGCTGGAATGTAAATATTTGTACTCTAACTTTTGGAAGACTACAGTGTTTGCACTGAAAGGAATATTCTCGGTTTGGGTTTTTTGTTTGTGGTGGAGGGGTTTGCCTTTTTGTTTCATTTTCTTTTGTTTTTAACACTGCACCTTGTATTCAATAAGTGTTTTAAGGGTGAGTGTTTTTTGTTTTTAAGTGAGCCAACAATGCATTTAACTGCATTCAAATTTTAAACTGCAAACATTTAATATTAACTCTTCCACTATAACTTGTAAAGCTTTTCTTCCTGAAGTTGCCCAGCTATTCTTACTTAAAGGACAAAATGAGATATGCTTGACTGTTTTTCAAGGATTAAAAAGACTCCAGAAAATTCCAAGTAGTTAATTGTGGGGGGAAGGGATACTTAATCTCGACAAAATTAAGTTACTTAATTAGGTATAATGTAAAAAAATAGAGTGATTAAATAAAATCAAATGTATAGTATACTTTATCTGATGAAAGTATAACTGGAATTAAAGGAACCTCCCTTAAATCTCAGTATTTGAACTAGTAATTTTTCATACCATTTGCACTTAAATAGTCTTCTTAAATAAAATCAAATAATGTTAGAATAAATTTTTACATTCTAATTGGAACAGTGTTTTATTAAAAGCTTTGTTCAGAACGCCCTTTCTCCTTTGCTCTGAGGTCTTGGGAGTTCAGTTGTTAAGTGGAACACACAATTACTTAAACCTTCAAAGCCAAGGGATTAAAAAAGAAAGTTTCTATTCTGAGACTGGTATGCAGTACACTGGTTACCTTGACGATGACACATAATTAGATGTACAAAATCATGAACTCTTAATCACACAGAACAGAAGACAGAAAAATGCAACTTCCCAGCTCTTGAAGTGGAAATCAAAAAGGATTTCCTTAAAGTATTACTTTTACAAGTATGTATAACCACTAGCTGTCTGTAAAAGCTCAATGACTGCATAGTGTTCTATAATGTTTTGTTCAAAGCTGTTTTTTACTTCAGTAATCCAAGTTAATTGTCAGCATGAATCAAGTTGTGTGCTCTGTTCTTTGACTTTCCTTTAAACTTTAATTTCATCAGAGCAAATTAATAGGTTATCTCTCTCTGTTTTTAATATGATGGGATTTCATAAAATATAGTCAATTATGTAATGCATATAGATCAATTTTTACGTATAGTTTAGTAGCAGATTTGTCTCTAAGGCTTAATTAAAAGTTTGGAGCATTATGTATATTTCAACTTTTTGGGATCAGCTATTCCTATGTAAATTGAGATAACTTGAGTTGATTGTATTACAGTTTCTGAAGAAAGTATCTCTGGCTTTCTACAGAAAAATCTCAGGTGCTGTAGCAATTTTGCCTTGTAAACTTTTGTATTTTTAAGGTGTATATCATTATGAATGTTGAATTTTGCACCCTATATTTTGTAATTAATAGTATCAGCATAAAAAGCTGTTGTCAGCTATGTTTTCACTTTTCAGTGCTCATCATCTCTCTTTTTATTAAAAAAAAAATCTATTCATGTTCAGTGGATAATTTTCCTTTAAAATGGCACATATGCTATGGGCAACCCAGTGCATTATAACTGATTTAGGAGTATGTGCTCCAGCTCTCATTCTGAGACAGTTTAGGTAAGTCATTTCAACTATTCTTCTCTGAGCTGCAGTCTTTTTTAGCTGTAGTCTGTAGTGCTTTATCCTTTTTTTTTTTTTTTTTTTTTTTTTTTTTTTTTTCCCCCCCTCTTGGTAGTTTAGAACTCTAGGCCAGTCTTCACTGAAATTGAGAAAAAAAATCTGGAGAAATGGAGAAAGAAAAAGATTTTCACAATCTATATTTCACTTTTCACCAGAAAAGCTTTTTTATAATTTAGTAGGCATTACATGGCTGTGGTTAAAGGTATATTTATTTCCATGTAGGTTAATATTCTGACTAGATAAATAATAATTTATGTTGATTGTCTTAGCAGAAAACTGAAGGTGCTTACACTACAAAGATTAAGATAAACACTTGATATGCTGTTTTACAAAACCTGATGATTTAAATGTGTTTTTTTTAATTAAAAATAAAGAAATGTTTTGTAGCTACTGTACTGCAAAATGACCTGGGTGTTCTTGAAAAAGATATTTTAATGCTTTCTTAAACTGTGCTTGGCAGTCCTCCAGGGAACGACCAGGAACGGTGGACAGCCTGTTCCTGGAACATGAGAATGTATTGTTGAGCTGAGATTAATTGTCCAGTATGGTACTGTGGACTTGCTTATAATTTATTGCAGTTGGTGTGGGCAGAAGTGTTATGGTATTAGCCTTTTCTTTCTCTTGTGTCACCATAATATTTCTTCTGGTGCTTTTACAGTGGTGGTTGGGTGTCTCAGAGAAGGTAGAGCAGTGGCAGTAAAATTCTGCATCTGATTCAGCATCAAGAATGCAGCTAATCAGTTAAATAGTTTTTCTGAGATGCATGATACCAGGATTTTTCTTTTAATATTTTCTGACACCTTCCTTTATGGGCTTCCTCCCACCTCCCTACCCCTCTAATGATGCTGCTGGCGTACTACCCCCCATTCCAAGTGGAGGGATGGGGAAGTATCCACTTGTACAGGAGCCACGGGCAACTTGTAGTAGAGGCTATAATGGTGCCCTGGAATTCAAAGCCTGATCTTATAAAGACAAACCTAATCTTATAAAGTCACGTCAGCATGTCTATATTCAGTGAGACTGCTTAGATAACAAATATTCATGTGGCTAGTAAATGGCATTATTGAGTCCAGAATATTAAAATAAACTGCCTTTGTAACCTGCCATTTGATAGAAAAATTTATAATTAAGACTTGCACACAAGAATTAGTGGAAAAGACCCTATCTCTCACTAACCACCTCATTTTTTAGTAAAGTAATTAGTCTGATTAGTGAATACAGTGTGAAAAGTTAATGCTATAGATAATGGCAGTTATCTAATTCACTGTGGGATGTAGGTTTAAGGATACCAAGGACTTCACTTTTTAAATTTAGATGAAGTTATTTTTAAATTAATGCAAGAAAGTCCTTATATTTGAGATTCGGCATTAGGATGCCCAAGCTCAATGCTTCTTAAATTTAACAGCTTATATCTGTTCAAAATCTTTTTTCTCTGTATTTTTTTTTATTTGATGCAACTTGAGTTGATCTATCTGGTACAGTACCACAGTCAGACATCAAATTCAGTTTTATTCCTTAGAGTTATTAATATGGAGATTCAGGCTGTATAACATTGTTAAAATAGAACCTTTTTAGCACTGCAGTAGGTGCAAGAACATCCCACTACATCACATTTGCATTTACAGGGTCTGACAACTTGGTTCGCTTGAGGTGGTGAAGCCTTTCATGAACGTCATGGTCTCATCTGTAGTCTTCCAAAGGGGAAATGGGGAAGGCATGACGATGACTCTCTCCACAGGGAGCTATTAACAATTCTCCAAAAAGGTGTCAAATGCAGCTAGAGACACTAGAACTCCTCAGAGTTCATGAGATGCCACAGAATTTTCCTAAGTGCTACACTGTCCTGTCTCCCTTTGAGAGTTCCCACCTGCCTTACTGAGATCTTCCTCCTATCACTCTGCTTCCCATAGGAGTCTGTACTAATAGTCCTGTGAGGGCTTGCCAGCCATTCCTGAAATCATACCAGAGTCTGCATACGTGGGACCTAGCAGCAAATGGAAGGAATAGGACTATTCATCCCTCTCAGTGTTTTGCCAATGACTTAATTCAAAAGTTTCTAAACTCGTTTTCATGGCAGATGAGATTAGGCAGTAATATTTTACAAAGCCTTTTTACTTACTCCTACCTTCCAAAAGTCATGACAATTGCTTGCATTAGGTGCCACTTGTTCTGCCTGACGAACATTACTAATGTTGGGCGAGATGCGAGATTCTTCCTCTGCCTCATGAAAAGAGACAGCCATCCTGGGAAGCAGGTGCATCCCACACCAGGTGCATCTGGCAGCAGTCCAGGCAAGTCAAAAACATTGCATATATTATCTAATGATTTAAGCCGTTTTGAGTGCATGATTCTGAAGAGAAAGGTGATGGATAATGTCTTTCAGGGAACCTTCAGGGGTGGGAGATTCACCAGAAGAAATCCACTCCTGTGGATCGCCTGAAGTGGTAGGAAGCCTTCCTGATTCTGTCGTAAGAGAAATGACAGTGCAACTCTTCCAATGCAGACACCCTCTGAAATGCTGAAGACGGCGCTGGTAATGGTGAGTCTAGTAGCTGCTGTAGTTCTGGTCTTTTCTCGCTGTAAAATGGGCAGAAATTACTCCCATTGCTGCCTCTGTTCTAACAAATAGAAGTATCACCCAGGCCTTCAGTCCTTGTGTGTGATACAGCTGCTTGGTGGCTGATTCTTGGGCCTAGAACAGGCCTGCTCTATTGGAATGCCCTACTTTACCCACTGACAATAATTGCTGAACAGATA